ATGTTTAGTTGGCAGCCAATATCAAGTGGAGTGCCCCAGGGGTTGGTCCTGGGGCTGATCTTGTTCAATATCTTCATCAGTGACCTGGAAAATGTCATAGAGTGCACCCGCAGGAAGTTTGCAGATGATGCGACGCTGGAGGGATTAGTAGATACACAGGAGGGTAGGGCTAGGATCCAGAGTGACCTAGAAAAATTGGAGGATTGAACCAAAAGAAATCTCATGAGGTTAAGCAAGGACAAGTGCAACATCCTGTACTTAGGATGGAACAATCCCAATGCCATTACAACCTGGGGACCCACTAGGTAAGCAGCAGCTCTGCAGAAAAGGACCAGGGGTTACAATAAGCTGGACAATAACAGTGGACAATAAGCTGAATATGAACCAGCAGTGTACCCTTGCTGACAAGACTAACGGCATACTGGGCTGCATTGGTAGGCGTGTTGCCAGTAGGTCAAGGGAAGTGATTACTTCACTCTTCTGCACTGGTGAGGCTACATCTGGAGTACTGTTCAGTTTTGTCCCCCTTCCCTCCCCCCCTCACACACACTGCATAAAGGATGTGAATAAATTGGAGAGAATCTAACAGATGACAATGAAAATGGTAAGGGGGCTGAGGCACATGATTTATGAGCTGAGATTGAGGGAACTTGGCTTATTTAGTCCAGAGAAGAGAAGACTGACAGGAGATTTAATACCAGCCTCCAAATACCTGATGGGTGGTTCCAAAGAGGATGGAGCTGGACTGTTTTCAGTAGTGGAAGATAACAGAACAAGGAGCAATGGTTTCAAGTTGCAGTAAGGGAATTTTAAGTTAGATATTAGTAATAACTTTCTCAATAGGAGGGTCAAAAAACACTGGAATCAGTTACTCAGAGTGTTGTCCTGTGGGGACAGGACAACTCTCAGGATCTCAAAATTACACTGTTAGATGGGAGGGTGTGACACAATGGCTTATATACACACACAAAAATCAATTAGGTGCATACACACACACTAGCCACATACACACACACTACCAACTCAGACACATACACATCCAAGATGACCAGACTAAGCATATTCACACCTATCGCCAATTCAAGCATATATACACTATACACACCAAAAATTAGACAAAAATCAGTTGTCAATACCCGCACGCCCAATACATATACACAAACACGCATTTTCATGGCCGTGTGTTAACCCTAGGGGGCATTTGGGGCAATTTGGTGTGTGGGGTTACTTAAGGTCAAGTGGCCCCGGGGTTACTCAAGGTTACTGGGGCTTGGGGTTACTTAGGGTTAATGTGCCCCGGGATTACTCGGGGTCACCTGGTGCCAGGGTGGAAGCAAGGGAAGAAGCCTGGTGGCAAGGAGAAGACAGCCAGGAAATAGGGAGGCAGAAAGCTGGGAGATTGGGGCTGGAAACTGAGGCAGAAACCTGGGAGATTGCCGGGAAATCAAGGAGGAGGGTTGGGAGGTCAGTAAGACAAAAACTCAACTCGGAGTTTCAAAATAACAGGTTTATTAAACACACAACACACTACATAGCCCCACAAAGTTATTGGTTCCTACACACA